CCGTATAATAAATTATCCGTATGGTGACGGATTATGTAGACGAAGTGTCACCAGATCCGTTCATTCCGTGGCAGTCGTAAGAGTCGACTAAAGGAGCAAACGAAACGAAAGAGAAGGAAAACTTGACACAAATCCTATACCAACCCGTCTGGGCAGCCCGGTATACTAAAGGCCAAAACTTCCCTGCGAAGGAGACTCCTCTGTCCATGATATTGATGTAAGTATTAAGAAATATAAAAAAAAAAAAACACAAACCGCTGAGCAATAAATATCAACAAATACATAAAAAAATATTTTGAAATTGTACAAACCATTACCAAAATATAAACACAATATCAATCAATGCTCAATTCCGTTGATTGTATGAATAAACACCAGTTATATAAACAAATATGTTAATTTCAAACATATCTAAATGGTATACGGTATGGAGGCCCAAACGTTAGTGTAACATAATTTACAAATAATTTCGGTTGTGAATGATAGCACTCTAAACTGTTAGCACATAGTGTTGAAAGACACGGAATTAAATATTTAAGTGTTTTACAATGTGGGTATTTTGCAACTCTTCTAGTTATTTATGGTCTTGTATATTTCCGAATCTATGCTTTTTTGTGGTATCTGATGGTAAGTGACCACGCTTATGGACATATGCCTCTTAAGAAACGCGAGTGCGTTGCGTCCTTAGAGTGAAGAATTAGTGGGCCCTACATGTTACAGGCAACATTAAAAGATAGGTTCATAAGTCTAGGCAGTGATTCAAATTTAGCATACAAAACATGGAAAAAGGCAAAATACAAGGCACGTGGTAAATGCAAATACTTGCCATTTCCAAACATGGCCTTTCAGAAGATAGCGAAAGTGTGTGTCTGTCTTTCTATCTGTTTGTCTGTCTGTTACCTCTTCACGCTTAAACCGCTCAAGCGATTTCGATAAAATTTGGTATAGAGATAGTTTGAGGATCGGGAAAGGACATAGAATAGGTTTTATTCCAGAAATCATCCTAGAAGGAAGTAAAAAGAGGAGTTAAAGTTAGTATAGGGAATCCGATTTAGATGAAATTTGGCATGAATATAGTTTTATTCTTGAGGAAGGACATAGGCTACTATGCCTAAATAGAGAATGTACCCGAAGGTGGTGCCCGCGCCATTGCGAGCAGGCGCTAGGGGGGATCCGGATCTCTTAATAACGGCAGTTCCCGGATCCCTCCTATTACAGACGCAGAGTGGCACACCGTATGGTTTTAGTCGGTCCGATTTCGACACACTACCCTGCCGCAAACCCCGGTGGGGTGACGGCCCGAGGGGGTTAATACACGTAATAAAAAGAAAAGATTATATATTTTTTTAAAGGAACTAATCCCACCCACACGCCCACCACTGTAACTCCTGTACACCAGGATCCACAGCAGTGACCGGCGAACACACCGAGTTATGACACTCGGGAAGTCCCAGGAAGATATTAAACTGTCTTGGAACCCGCAACGAAATTAATCAGAAGAAAATTGGAGGAGTTGGAAATACAGTAAATAAAAAGATTATATGTACATATTAGACACATACCTAGTTGTTTTCATAGTTAGGATGAACAGACTAGTTTAATTCCCGCCCAGTGTAAAAAGATTTCCCTATCTGAATTGTATCGCCCATGCGAAGCAATATTAAGCCACACATCATCATCAACAGCCTTTAACAGTCCACTGCTGGACATAGGCCTCTCCTTAGAAAGGAGGTTTTGGCCTACTATACCACGCTGGCCAGACGGGTTAGTATAGGGTTTGTGTCAAGTTTTCCTTCTCTCTGCAGTGCTGTTGTTCTGCGTAGTTTTTTCCCTTAGTCGGCTCTTACGACACCCACGGGATGAATAAGGGTGGTGACACTCTGTATTCTTAATCCGTCACCACGCGGACAAGCCAAGCCAAGCCATATCAAGTCAAGCCAAGCCAATGCCGTGCCATGACAGCTTAGTGCCAAAACTGTCACACAAGCCTGCCATTAATCGTCACATCCAACTGTTAAACTCATTTTAAATTCCTGTCCCGCTCATTTGGTGGATCAATCTGTTGTGTACACTTGAATAAGTAGGAACTCTTGCCAAATTATATACGTATACAAATTATAATCATAAAATATTTTTTATTTATTTATTTATTTATTGGTTTACCAGTAATTATTACACAAAAACATTCGTAAAAAATAGAACATAGTATTACCTTAATCTAAGTGCATAACTTATGTAGGTAAACACCGCATGCATATAATCTAATATGGCTTTAAAGAAAAAAGAAAAAAAAAACTACCTATTAACAAGGGTTGTGAAAAAAGTAGAAAAATAAAAGGTTGTAGAACCTATAACCTAATATTACAGATAGGTACTATCTCCAAATAGAACAACAATTAGTACATAGCTAATCGACAGTAAGGTTGTGGACTCGGTTCTTAAATCGTTGAAATTTTGTGCCAAAAATATCTATCTGATTACTGATTTGATTGTATTTCTTGCTTAGCCGTGAAACAGGCGAAGTTAGCCGTGAAACAGGCGAGTTGGAACCTAAAACCGATCATAAAATAAATAATTGATTAATAAGGGAAATCGTTTCGTTTATTATTGCCGCTTGTTACAGAATATAACATTTATGTAATAATATTATTTAACGGGAATTAACGCGATCTCTTATTTGGAGGTCAGCCTGTGACCACGGCCGGTGCAACCTGGTCGAAACGTCAGGCAAACCAGAGGTATGTAATACCCTAAATAAGAGATCGCGTTAATTCCCGTTAAATAATATTAATTATCATGGAACGCGAAAGTTTAAAAGTTAGTATTTATGTAATAATCTATGTACAATTTACAAAATTCGTTAATTTAAACTTCGTGGTGCACACTTTCTTACTTTGGCTCATAATAGCTTTGTGAAACATAAACCAAACTATTATAACCTTCAAAATAGATCAAAATGAGGTACAACCTAACCTCTACATAAAATAAAGTTAACAACAAAACTGTTTATAATATAACAGCTATTTATCTGCCGGGACAGTGACATTGTAACTAACGCAAAACAGCTGACATGTCTTTAACAAGCCCACTCAAGTGCGGTGAGTGGCATGTCTGGTGGTTAAATAAAGGAAATGGGGTGATTTCCTCCTCGTAATCCACATTTAGAGCTCGTACAACGCTTTTATTTGCTATGTAAAATATACCTTTTCAAAGCGGTTAGAAATCTTCGTATAAGTTTGTACTTAGATTCAAGATTTTCTTTTTTGACATAGGGGTCAAAGACTCACCGGGGACGTCCTTTCTAGGGTATACCTGGTTCCCCGGCTATTAGTACCCGAGACGGCGTGCGGTTTTAGTCGGTTCGAGTCCGACATGCCACCGATAGGTGGTATGCGAGGGGATTTCCGCACGAAAAAAAAAAAAAGAAACGGGTCAAAGACTTTGACTGCACGGATGGCGTAGTGGTTTAAGCGGTCGCCACGCCGCTTAATACTACGCTGAGTGTTGTGGGTCCGATCCCCACATGGGACGACACTTTGTGTGATCCACAAATTGTCGTTCTGAGTCTGGGTGTTCTCTGTGTCCGTTTCATGTATGTTTGTAAAGTTCCCCGCGACACAGGATATATATCTAATGAGGGAGTTGTCTTTTTTTAAAAAAAAAAGAGGCAACAGCATTAATAATACTAGTATTAACATTTTCGGACATCTGACACACAACGCCGTCTAGTTTCCAACTAAGCAGAGTTTGTAATATGAAAGTTAAATAGACCGATCCTCGTAGAATACTTTTTTGTTTGTAAATACATACATATTATACATAGAAAACACAAAAACTTCGAAACAAATATTTGCAGATCATACAAACATTTGGTCCGACCCGGGATCCTGAGACCTCAGCACAGCAGTCGCATTCGCTTCCACTGCACCACCGAGAGCAAACATTTCGATTACACAAACTCACTCACAATAATACATTTCTAATACTAAAATGATCTCCAACCTACTAACTTACTAACCTATTGCAAACCAGGCCTAAATGCGGAGGCTTATAGCTCAACTGCTGCGGTAGGCGATAGGATAGCGGCCTGGTCGCAAAAATGGGGTCGATAGCCGATATCCTGGGGAAGCACGCAGCTTTCCCGGGATAGGGCTTTACTGGGCGCGGCGTCGATCCGAAGGGGACCTGAAATAACGTAGTCCTTGTCCTCCTCGGAGTAAGGCGCCTGAGTCCGGCCATCGGGGTGGTTTTTAGTGGAAACACCACATACTTCATGCTCCTGCATCGCCAAGGAGCCGGAGATCCGAAGGGATTTTCCACCCCATCAACATAAAAAAGGCTTTATAGCTCATACACCATTAGACAGTCTTGTTACAATCAAGCGATTACTTGAGCTTAGAAGTAAGCATTGTGTTTTCAACATTGTAATTCAGAAACAAATGTAAATTTATGCAAAATAACATACAATCCTAACTGGCTTGTAAAAGTCTTGCATATTGGACCACGGTGTAGATTCTCTTTATATTTTATTCACCTCACACAGCCTTTGATAGTCTACTGCTGGACACAGGCCTCTCCTTAGCAAGGAGGTTTTCTGCTACCATACCACGCTGGCCAGACGGGTTGGTATAGAGTTTGTGTTAAGTTTTCTTTCTCTGTGCAGTGTTGTTGTCCTGCGTAGTTTGCTCCCTTAGTCGGCTCTTACGATACCCACAAGATGAAGGATGGTGGTGACACTCCGTATTATTAATCCGTCACCACACGGATATTATTCATCATCATCATCAACAGCCTTTAACAGTCCACTGCTGACGTGACGTGGTACGGGCCACAAAACCAAAAACCATAAGGATAATAGTAATAGCCAGTCATAAACTGCATACATTTGGGTGGAGTGTTGCAAGGCGGAGGGAGGCAGTTACAGCCGCATGAACAGCATGGACAGGCTGGACAGGCGCTTACACTGCACAGGTGCTGAAGAACCTCTGGGCTTCCAGATTCTAGTGTTGTAGGCATGGCCACTGCTCCGCTTGAGAGGGCATGAAACAAGACTGGATATGAGGAGGGCTGAGATTTGCGGAACCACGCTCGTGAGCTTGGCTTTGGCTTGGAAAAATAGCTGACTTTGTGCGCGGTAACCATGACTGATGGTAACGACATACGAATCCTTCCTCTGTGCCTCTGCTCGGGAGGAGACACGGGCAGGAGTTACTCTTATGCAATGATATTGGAGTCTTCGCTTTTTCTTGTTCCACTGGTTGAGGTTTTTTTATCTTGATCGCTGACATATCTCGCAACATACTCTTTACTTGTTCCTTGACAGTCAACCGCGGCCCGAGAGTTGATATCGCTGTAGCGTCTGATCTTTTCGCCGCGGTAGCTAAGGGCCGGCCTTTTATCCATTTTAACAAAGAGATGTTCTTTGGTAATACTGCCTTTCTCAAAACTAAAGCCATGTTCACGAGCGTAGATATTTTTTACTGTTGTATTTTTAGATTTTATATTTGAACTTGCTGATTTAGAGGATATTATTCATAATAATAAAAAAACAAACTTAAATTCCAATTCCAAACCAAATTAGAGAGTCTGTGTAATAGTAACCAGACTGCTGATAAACATTTTTTTTTTTTTCTCCCACATTCACTCAACGCCATCTAGTCCCAAACTAAGCCGAGCTTGTACTATAGGTAATAGACAACTGATAAAAATACATACATACTTTTTTTGTAAATACATTAATATTATGCATAGAAACACCCAGACCAAATCAAACATTAAATGTTCATACACACAAATGTTTGACATGAGCGGAAATCAAACCCACGACCTCTTGAATAGCAGTCCATCACACAAACCACTACGCCATCCGGTCGTCAGATTACATTATGGATAATAATAAAAAAAATTGTAGATTTTGCTTAGTTTTAGATAAAAAAAATATATTTATAATCATTGATTACAATCGTAACCTCGGTGCACCAACCCTACAAGATTTCTACACCACCTAAAGGTTGACTGGTAGAGAATGCCCAGGGCATTAAGTTCGCTGATGTACATAAGTGCAATGAAGATGTAAAATCTATATATATAAAAGAAAGTCGTGTTAGTTACACTATTTATAACTCAAGAACGGCTTTACAGATATGGCTGAAAATTGGTGGGGAGGTAGCTTAGAGCCAGGAGACGGACATAGGTTATTATTTATTCCGTTCGACAGTTTTTTTTTTTTTGTTTTTTTACGAACTTTGTTTTTTACGAACATCCATGTTTTTCCCATGGTCAATTATATGTGGCATGTTCACGGTTCGGAAGACAATCTGCGTTGTTTGTTTTTGGTCGTGAATCACAAGGTACTTAAGTGAAGAGCAACCTATGTACTAAAATGCAGAAACAATAATAAATGATTAATGTAATTCATTTTTTTTTTCTAAGAAAAAATTAACTTACTAAATTCGAAAATCGGCTTATTTATTGCCTTTAAGGCGGAACAGAGTTCGCCGGGTCAGCTAGTAAATAAATAAATAAAATAATCACATATAGGATAAATTACGATGAGAAAATTTATTCCGTTTAAAAGATGCAGACCAAGTTGCGCAAGGCACCTAATAAATAAATAATAATAAATAAATATAGATCCTTAATACTATGTTATATCTACAATAAGCAATAAAATTATCTAGTGTTAATACCCGGTAATATAATATAAATGTCACATTATCTGTCTTGTATCAAAGATCTATTCCACCACAAATCAAAACCAACATTGTACTGGTTGCGCACGCGCATGTTTTGCGTCGTAAATAAACTCGCACAATTGTCCATTCAGGTCTCTTTTGTGTCCCGACATTGGACTTAGTACATTAGTAGCTTCTAAATATAATTTAAATGTCATAATGAACCCAATAGAACTGATTTAGAACTTTTTACAGTGTTAGACTACTTAAAGTGCTAAACTGTTTTTAATAAAAGTAAAAAAAAAACAGTGACACTCCGGGAGTGCCGACATAAGTGAAAACTTGTTTTTTATTTTTATTAAAACAGGAAAATAATTTGTTTATTTCGATTCCAAAAGTTATATCTATGTGGTACGTAAATAAACAATAAATGTTTATATTAAATATAGTTATATTATCAATGTATTTCAACGCAAACTCAATTCTCGTGTAAACGGGGCCAATATATGTAGATACTTATATACAGAGGTGTCGGTAACGGCAACAGTGTCGCGAGTTCAATGGTTTTTTCCCATATCAATTTTATCTAACAATGAAAAAACAGTCAAGTGTACCGGGCCTCAGCAATTTAAGACTCCGTAGTTATTACTACCCATTGTACAAAATTAAGTGATGAAAATGCAGCACTATTATTAAAATAGTTTATCCAAGGATTTTGTAACTAGAGTGGAGAAGGGAAGGGAATCATTTCTATTTAACGTGTAGGGGAGGTACCCTAATATATTATAGTCAAGTTTTTTAACACAGCAATATAAATATTTACAAAAATATCCATGCATTCTAGTTCCTATGGTCTCGGTGGCGAGTTTATAAGGATTTCTTTTCTGGACTACGGAACACTAAAACACTAAGCTTAGTTTGTGACACTTCATCATCATCATCAGCAACAGCCTTTAATAGTCCACTGCTGGACATAGGCCTCTCTTTAGCAAAAAGGGGTTTTGGCCTACTAAACCACGCTGGCGTCTGGCCAGCGTATTTCGGGTTGGTATAGGGTTTGTTTCAAGTTTTCCTTCTCTTTGCAGTGCTGTTGTCCTGCGTAGTTAGTTCCCTTAGTCGCCTCTTACGACACCCACGGGATGAATAGGGTTGGTGACACTCCGTATTCTTAATCCGTCACCACACGGACTCTTCAATCAATCAATCAATATTAATAGGCACTAGTAGAAACACTTAGTTTCAATTCTTTTTAGACAAAATTAAGGCAACGAAGGAGTAAAAAGGTCACTCGAAATTAAAACTATTTCCCGTACACAGATTGTCATCTATTAAAACTGCAATCTCGGCCAATATTTACCTTTGAATGATAAATTACTAAATTCAACATGGCCGCTTGGATCTGCGCCGGCTTGTTGTAATGGCGGGCATAAATTATAATTACAAACAATTATTGCACATAATAATTCCTAATTGTACCATACTCAAGCAGGATTCTTTAGGTGTCATTATATTCTCGTGTGAAAGCAATTCAATGTTTTAATTTGTTACTATTTTGTAATTATTAAAGTTTTTAGACGGCCAGCAATAATTGTGCTTTTTAATTATCTATTTGAACCTGAATATACTTCGTACCAACCATTCTAGAAGTGATTTTGAAAAGCATGTCGAATTTTTTTGATGTATTGGGTTAAAACCAGCGGAATAAATCAGTTTTGCGTGTTATTTCAGTGAATTTTGTTATGAAAGGAATTCAGGTAAGATATCATATTTGAAATATTATTTCTACATAAAACAAAAGAGACAAAACTTACAAGAGGTATAAAATTTTATATTTTTACGAGGAATGTAATGGTTGCCATATTTTTCGTTTTGATTTATTAGCGCACCGCTGCCAGCTATCTGTCATAATTGGGTTGCTGTTGCTAACTACTTGTGGTACTGACCGTAACTCTCAGTGTTGCTAGTCTATAAATTAAATGCCTACCTGTATAGTAATTTATCAAAAAAAAGAACTTAAGTATTGACATGAAACAGAGAGCAGGGAAGAACAACGACCCCTCCCAGGCTTCTATAAAATAATAATATTAAAAATAACTTGGCATTTTGAGCCTGTATTGTGATATCAGACTGCTGATAAACATCATGCATTCTTAAATACATACATTTTGTCGATAAACTACACACAGACACAGAACAAATGTATTTTTGTTTGAATAATGACAGGTTAACTTATGTTATAGTGATCCGTGTTCTAAAATTAATTTATGTGTTTAAAACTGGTATTTTAGTGTAAAAGTACTGTGATTGTGTGGAAGAACTTTGTGAATACTTGTGGCATTGTTGGTGAACATAATCAAGCATAATAAAGTCTATAAAAATATAGAATTAAAAGTGAGATTCGCGATTCCTTTAGGTTTGCTTTTTTTAAATGTGGGTAAACCAACAGCAGCGAATATTGAATCAACGTTGTTGACATTGAGAAGTGACAGTCAGTGACACATTCTGTTTAATATGGATACGAGTCTTTTTGCTTAGAGACATTTGGTAAAACTTACAGTGTTGCCAAAAAGTAAAATAATTGCGCTTTGGTAGCATTTTCTTTTTTGAGTAAAAAAATAATTACCTCAGTAATGGAAATGAGTACCAATGTCACAGGAAGGCCTGGCAAAAGGCAAGCTTCTAATTTACCTCAAAACGTCAATCCAGGGGACCAACTTACACCATCTCTGGTTAGTGAAATAGTACAGAACGCTGTTGCAAAAGAAATTAGTACTTGCATGAGTAATTTGATGGGGACTGTCTCGGATATTTTGAATAAAGAGTTAAAAACAATTAAGGAAGAAATAAGGGAAATGAAGGAATCGATTCAGTTATGAGTTGCCAATACGACAGTATTGTGAAGGAGCAAGGACATACAAAAGACTTAGTCAAACGTCTCGAAAATGAAAATACACAACTGAAAACATCTCTCCATGATTTAACAAAACGAATAAATCTTTTTGAACAGCACGCCCGCGCTAGTAACGTGGAGATCCAGTGTGTCCCAGAAAAGGCGAATGAAAACCTACTCAACATAGTCTCAAACCTGAGCAAATCAATCAACTACCCTGTTAAGGAATGTGATATTATAAGGTGTACGCGTATTGCTAAACAAAACCGGGCTAGTGATAGACCGCGCTCGATTGTCCTCCAGCTGTCTTCACCGAGGATGAGGGATAGCTTTCTTTCGGCTTGTATAAATTATAACCGGATCCACCCCAAAGACAAGCTTAATGCAAGGCACCTGGGATACCCTGACTCTCAATCTCCCGTATTTATCTGCTAGCATCTCTCACCTACAACTAAAGCTCTGCACGCCGCGGCTAGATTGAGAGCAAATTAGAAGAATTACAAGTTTGTTTGGGTTCGACATGGCCGAATTTTCTTAAAGAAAGAAGAAAACACAGAGTCCATCTTCATCAACGATTTAAGTGCATTAGAGAGACTAGTTAAGTGATCTAAGTAATAATATTGTTTTTTTTGTTTAAGTATTGATAGTAAAATTATACAAAATTCGATAACTTAAGCATATACTACCAAAATGTGCGCGGAGGACTAAAACCCACAGTTTTTATAGCAATTTATGTTGTTGTAACCATGACATTATAGCATTAACGGAAACATGGTTGAATAGTAGTATCTCAGACTGTGAGCTCTTTGATGAAAATTATGATGTATATAGGCGAGATCGCGAAACCTCTGCAATTTGTATAGATGGTAACAAATATAAGGGTGGTGGCGTA